ACTCACATGCTGTGAATGATCCTCTGGGTCTCTTCCTGGGGTCAGCTCTCTCCTGGCAGTGACGACTGAAGATTTAGTCTATGCGAGCAAGCGCGTCCTGGGGTCTCGGAGGCAATTTTGTCTCTTTTCTTGCTCAGTGCTGAGATGGATTTGGTGCAGCACGAGGGGAGCAGAGAGGTCAGGGCTCCCAGGGAGGAATATGTTTGCTTTGGCAGCTCAGTCGGATCCTGGAGCCAAGACTCAATCCATCCCGCTTGAGCCTTTCCCCTGCTGCCTGCCCGCTGCTGGGTGGAGGTGTTCCCGGGGCCGGGGGGATGCCAGGGGAGCCGCAGCAGCAGCAAGTCGCACGATTCTCCCCCCTTGCCAAATCCTTTATGTTTTAGGAAAGCCGCAAGCCAAGGGGCTGCCTCCTGCTGCGTGGTGTTGTGCTCTCAGAGCTGGATGTGCAGCTGGGAACGAACGTGCCCTCCGGCACTTCTGATGTGCGTGGAAAATGCCAGAGCTGCGTGTCCAGCCCCGCTGCCTGTGAAATGTGCCTTTCGTTCCCGGGAGTCTCACCCGGAAAGTGAGTCTGAGCTTAAGGAACGTGGCCTGAGTAGGGGAGCAAGGAGGGGACTGAGCAGCCAGGTCACTGGCAGAAGGGTGAAAACTGAGCAGTGGTTATAATGCCCTTTGTTTTTTCTTTTTTTTGTGACTGCTCAGCCCACAGCAAGGCAGCCAGAGTCAGTCCTTGAGCCAGGCTGCATTTTACCTGGGCAGCACTGCAAAATCCTTCTGCTGATGACAAGAAGGGCATCGTTGCTGGGAAGAGCAAAGTCCTACACAAATTATTAGCACCCCTGCTCAGCCACCTCCTTGGTCCTCCTTGGCATTATCTGATCCAAAGCGCTGCTTTGCAAGAACAAGGTTTGGAGTTCTTGGTTCACGTTTGGATTTATGGTTTGCCTGGGCAGCTCCCATGCTCCCTGAATCTGCATCGCTGGCTTGCAAACAGACCAGTGCTGCTGTGCAGGGGGGAGAGCAGCTGTGAGCTCCCACAGCACCGTGTTACCAGACCCTCTTTGTCTTCCATTGACTATGATACTTGGAGCAGAACAGCACCTCCACCAGCTGCCAGATTGGTTTCTTCCTCTAGCAACAAGGATCTAAACTTGCAGCGATCACAGCAAAGCAATTTGCAAACAAGACATTTTGAAGAAGTCTCTTTATTACTAGTATTATACCATTTATACCATTCCTCCTGCGCTGGCAACCACTGTGCTTACTGCCAGAGTTCAAAGTCAGAATGGATAAAGAAATTGAGGTTCATATTGAGGGGTGCTGCTGCTGCTGCTGCCCAGTCAATGTCATGGGGCTTAGAGCTGCCTGAAAACTATTTGCTCTGTTTTCCAGATTTGTTGCAAATTGATCTGGTTCAGTGTCTTCAGCTCCTTGAAGCTTGTGTCTCTTGAGCTCCTCAAACATTCCGAATTTGGAAAACAGATGGAATGAAAATTTCACTTAGGTTTCCAGTCCTGGATTACTTTCTTGTACAGTAACAGTATAACGCAACAGGGCTCTTGGCAAACACAGCAGACGTTTTTGGCACACGGGCAGAGAAATACCGTTACTGGTGTTGCCAGTGCAGTGGCTGGGAGCGTGAGGGTAATACAGGGACTCTGCTGCCTTCTCAGGACTGTCATCGCGCTGTCCTGCTGCCATTCGTGTCTGGAACAGTGAGCAGAGCTGCCGTCCAGAAAGCAATGTGTGTTCATTGCTACAAGTTCCAGCAGCGCAAGACTTCAAGGAACGATGCTGTGGGGACCCATCTCCCTGGCAGAGCCAGAGCCTTCTGTGTGCCGTCTGCTGCACATGCTCTGAGAGTCAAATGAGAAGGGACGGCAGACAATTAATGCTCATCAATTGAGCACTGTTTATCTGCAGCTCTGAAGTAAACTCCCAAATGATGAAATGTGTTAGTAGTTTTTGGCCATATGTGCTTTTCCCCCAAAATGAGGCAGAGCCAAATGGCACAGAAGTGATACTTTAATGTACAACACATTTTCATCATTTTTCCCATGTACACTAAATCCCTCTTCATGGTCGTGGCAAAGGAACATTGATTTTTTTATTTTTTTATGTATTTTTTTGTATTTGGGTTGTGATTAACTTGGGGAAAATGCTGAACCCAAAGAGGAAAATATTTTCCGTGGATGTTGTATTGGATTAGCTCCCCTTCTCCCGGGGAAGGTGCAGGCGTGTGGCTGCTCCGCGTGGCTTTGCCACCCGCTCGCAGGTCCCGTGGACACGGCTGTTTGCCGAGGGTCTTCGCTGCTTGAATGTAGAAATGTTCAGTGCTTGGAAACTTGTTTCACAGGCACCTGAGTGCCAGGAGTGACTGCAAACAAATGCTTGAGAAGCCAGTTTGACCTTTTAAGTGGCCCCTTAGATTGCTCCATGCATCTAGAGCAGGGCAATCACCTTGCTTACTCAGCAAAGGTTTTGCTGGCAAAGAGCGTATCATCGGCTGAACAAGTGTCCCCCTCACGTGAAAAGTGCCTGGTGTGCTTTGCTGGAGGGAAGGGAAATAGAGAGTCAGTATTTTACTGTGATGCTCTCCTGGGCACGGGGATGGCTCCACTTCAGTCGCGAGGGTTTTGGCTGAGCCGTGTCTGGGGCGATGCCACAGCGAGGGGAGCGGGTCACTGGGCGTCTGCCGCTGGCCGAGCGCTGCTGCCGTCCTGGGGCACCAGTGCCCCCTCGCCCCCAGCCTCGCTTAGCAAAGGCTTTGTGCCAGCCAAGGCTGCTCAGGAGTCGTTTTGTTTTTCTCCTCCCTCTGCCTTGTTTTTCAGCTCTGAAGATGACCATAAAGGAAGTGAAGAAGGAGAATGGGGACAAGATGATCGTCCCACGGAAGAGGAAGGCGCTGAAGCTGGGGCCCATCCGGAAGAAGAACCTGAAGAAGCTGGTGCTGTTCCTGAAGAACGGAGCCGACTGCCCCTGCCATCAGCTGGACAACCTTGGCCACTACTTCCTCATCATGGGCCGCCAGGTGAAGACCCAGTACCTGCTGACGGCCATCTACAAGTGGGACAAGAAGAACAAAGAGTTCAAGAAGTTCATGAAGAAGATGAAGTCTCCTGACTGCCCGACGTTTCCATCCGTCTTCAAGTGAAGGGGTGGGCGGCAGGAGAGCTGCTGCCTGGACCTCGCACAGCCCGGCACGGCAGCTCAGTCTCACTCCTCTGCAGCGGCCATGCTGGAGCCGAGGCCTCCTGCTCCCCCCTCCTGCTCCTCGGAGCTTCCCTTGCCGCCCCCAGCCCTCCCACCTCCCCGCTGCCGGCATTTTCCTGATCACCTGGGCATGCAAGTGTGATGCACACGCACCAAACGGTTGCTGAGGTCACGCACAATTTACATCCACAATATCCAAAGACCTATTGCTGTACGGATATGTACATTCATTTAAATAGCAGCTGTCATGTAAAGAGGGCGAGCGGAGGGGTGTGAAATTATGTCAAGAGATTAC